TTCGTTGATTATTATTATTATTATTATTATTATTATTATCTATTTATTTATTTAAATATTATTTATTTATTTATGTAATTATTATTAGGTTGGCGAGAAAATTTGTGGGGTTATTAAATATGAAATTTATTTAATAAACCGAACGAACTTTTTGGACAACACAATATTTTATTTTATGTAATTTCTTTGGCTCTAAAGTTTGGTATTTTATTTTAAATTAAATTTATTACTACTAGGTTATGAGTTATTAGTTGCCAGGTCTTCCGGGCCGTGGTCGTCTCCACCCTTCTGTACGCTTGTCAGGCCTGGACTTTATATCGCGGGAACATCAAACGTTTAACACGGCTTCAGCAAACGAAGCTCCGAAGAATCCTTCACATCAGTTGCGAGGACAGCATCACCAACAACGATGTCCTCTCTCGGACATCCCTTCCCAGCATCGAGGCTGCCATCCTTCAAAATCGTCTCCGCTGGACGATTCACGTGCCCTGGATGCGTCCCATTCGACTCTAACGTATCATCGTGTTTGGAGAACACGGCATTGGTAAGAGGCTACGCAGGCCAATACTAACCCTGATACCTGGGAAACCGTTCCTGCAAATCGGCCTTCCCAGCGTAGGACCATCCGATGGGGGAACGAGACTTTCGAGTCCACCCGTCAACATGAAGAGGATCTGCGACGTGCTGTAAGGAGGGCCCAACTCGCTAAACGTGTCCACCACCCACACTTCTCTGTGACACCTGCTCACGACTTCTTCCGGGGGTAGGCTGGGCCTTCACAGCCATCTCCTACACCACCGCCAGAGGGGAGAAAGGAAATAAGGAGAGAGGATGACGATCCCGATGACCAAATGAGAGCGGGTGACGACGACTATTAATTACTATTCTTCCTTGCATTGAATATTGCTGTCATATCCAGTCTGGTGCTCCTACTGTTCATTTAAAGATTCTTGATAAAATGCAAAGAAGAATCTGCAATATTACTGGTCTTGACCTGCGAATACAAACCGACAGCTCCATTTCGATATTGACCAATAAACAAAAGAATATATATATATACATATATATATATGTGTGTGTGTGTGTGTGTGTGTGTTATGGTCCGGTTCCTTGTACCACGGTGATAGTCCAAGGTAGAACCAAAAAGAACTGGAATACGGATTTGGAATAACACAGATATATTACAAACAGGAATATATACAGAGAGATAGAAAGTGTTAGTACGAACAATCAGGGTTTAGTAGTAATTGTCTGAACTCGACTCTATTTCGGACTGCCTCTGACTCGACTGACTGACTCGCTCTGACTGACTGACAGGCTCCTGACGGACCTATCTCCAGACTTCAGACTGAACTCCCCGCTTCCTCTTCGCAGTATTTATTACGTATGGAATAGTCCATTATGTTATTATGGGTAAGGTCCCATAACAATATATAATAGTTAAATTAAAATCAGACAACCTTAAGGGTCCATAGATTATATTTTATTGCTTCAGGAAAGGGATTTTTTCCTGGTTCGTCAGATTACATTTCCAAGCATACATATATTTAATCATTTCACGCCAAACAAGGCAATAGAGCTACTAACTTGTAAGGGGTTGCTGAATGTGAAAGAATATAAGAAAAGCGATGTTAAGAAGCGAGAACAATAGAAGAAGACTAATCAAGAATATAACGATTGGCATTACACATATATTTTTGAAGATCAAAGTTGGCTGGAAAGCATAGAACCGGAAGAGAGTTCCACAAGCGAGAAAAGTGAGAAAAGTGACTGTTAGCATAGAACTACGGTTCTATAATAATGATCTCCATAGAACTACGGTTCTATAATATTGCTGAATTCATGAAAAGATTTTTTTTTATGACAAATCAGCATATATATATATATATATATATATATATATATATATATATATAGAGAGAGAGAGGGAGAGAGAGAGATACACAGAGAGAGACACACACAGAGACAGAGAGAGAGACAGAGAGAGAGAATTTACAGAATTAAATTTCCTGTGCTTCTCAACCGTCTGTTTGTTGTGCGACCTCCGTCAAATAAACAGGGCGTACCCATGAACCATTAAATTCCGAGAAAACACTGAAATTTAAGTATATATATATATATATATATATATCAGGTTGGTGCAAAAGTAACGTCTGATTTAAAGGTCTATATTAAAAATGAAAAAGCCCATGATTATGAAAATGTTTATTCGTTAAAATAACCCCCTTTTCTTTCTAGAACATCATTCCATCTGTCAACCAGCTTATAAATGTCACATAAATGTAAAGTTCCTTAGGTTTTGAAGCAAAATATGAATCCAACACATTTTCAGCCTCTTCTCTTGATGTCAACCTAAGACTATCCAAATGATTCTATAGATTCCGAAACAAGTGATAATCAGAAGGAGAAAGTTCAGGAGAATATGGCGGATTATTTCCCAACCAAACTATTCCAAAAGACTTTTAGTCAACCGAGCTGTGTGAGGATGAGCATTATTGTGATAGATGACGACACCCTTTCTGTTTACTAAGGAAGGTCGCTTTTGGTTCAAAGCTGTTTTCAAACGATAAAGTTGATCACAGTACAGATTAGCAGCAATTGTTTGACTGTTGTTTAAAGCTTCGTAATAGACAATTCCTTCAATATCCAACCATGCGCTCAACATAATCTCCTTTGGATGAAGTCCTCCTCTTGATTGTTGAACTGATCTTCCTCCTCGACTGATCTACGATCAGCTGCATTTAAATTTATGGTAAAGAATCCACTTTTCATCACCTGAAAAAAGGCTACCTAAAAATGGTGTTTGAAGGTGTCGTGAAAGCAATGATTCACAGCAAGCAACACGCTGTTGCAGATTCTTTGGAGACGGTTCATATGGGACCTATTTCACAACCATTGAAACATTTTTGATACTTTTTAATTGGCGTACCACGGTTGTATTATCTACATTAAATTACAGTGTAACCCGGATATAAGAGAGTTGTCGGGACCGGAGAAGAAGTCTCTTATATCCGGGTTTCTCTTATATCCGGTTTTAGTCTATTTTGTTTAGGTAACACAGGCTCTAATTTGGGACCAGAGAAAATATCTCTTATATCCGGGTTTCTCTTATATCCGGGTCTCTTATATCCGGGTTACACTGTATTCATGAAAAATATTTTTCATAATCTGAAAAAGATAGGTAAAAATTACTCATTGTGACATTCCTTAACAAAAACGAGAAGCACAAATCTCAAATACTATCTAAAACTTTCTTCTCAATAATCGGACATTACTTTTGCACCAACCTGATATATATATATATATATATATATATATATATATATATATATATATATATATAAATTTACTTTATATTTCAAGATATTTTTTGTGTAATTTTGGTAATTTTTTCCATCTCTTCCTAAATATAAATTACACAAAAATATCTTGAAATACTAAAGAATAAATTTATTCAATAAAATCGCCATTGGCTTCAACCACGGCCTCCAGACGACTTCGGAATCTCCTGCAACTCTTCTGGGCGGTCTCCTTGTTTAAATTGGTGAATGCTGCTATAATCCTTGACTTCAGTTCATCTTTGGTGTTACAAGGAGTTTCGTTTGTCTTTCATTCAACTATGCCCCACATAAAATAATCAAGGGGGTTGAAGTTTGAGGAATTAGGCGGCCAGATGTAAGGGGTGATGTGGTCGCAGAAAATGTCTGACAGCCATGACTGTGTTAACCTACTTGTGTAGTTTGCTTGAATTTACGAACAATTTTTCCAATTGCACTCTCGGTTGATCGAATATGCTGACAAAACATCGCGAAGTGCGTGAAATGCATTTCTGTTTGAACGTCCATTTTCGTAATAGGCTTCGATAATTTTAACACGTTGTTTGATTGTTAATCTTTCCATGGTTAAAATTGCCAAAGACTTAAATACTTAAGCTGTTAAATCTGAAAAGAAAAAAAATTAGACGATTAAACTTAATTCACATTTAAAATCGGTCCAAGTTATTGGAACAAACTATATATATATATATATATATATATATATATATATATATAAGGAGAGAGAGAGAGAATCAACAAATTATTAAATAAATGGAGAAACTTTCTGTATCTTGAGACTAGATAGATAGAGAGAGATGAAGAGACAAAGATAGGTTGATTGAAAAGATTGAGATAGTGATTTTCCAAGCGTAGCTCAGATGTGGCACGAAAGTATGGGGCACGCAGTGAGGATCGAGCACACTACTCAGTCGTAATTGATCTAGCGAGATAAGCTTGCTAACCATTACACCACCTCGAGGTGCTCTTTATTTTCTAAGCGTAGCTTAGATGTGGCACAAGGCCGAAAGTATGGGGCACCCAGTGAGGATCGAACTCACTTTTCAGTCGTTACTGTTTTAGCGAGACAAGCTTGCTAAACATTACACCAAGCCGAGGTGCCCAAAGATTGAGATAGATAGATAGATAGATAGATAGATAGATAGATAGATAGATAGATAGATAGATAATGCACAGAATAAGATAGATAGATAGATAGATAGATAATGAACAGCTGGATATAGATAGATAGATAGATAGATAGATAGATAGATAGATAGATAGATAGATAGTGTATGCATGATTTGAGAAGTCGCTGTTGTAAGCAACAGCTTCAAGTCATCCTTTGAATTTGATAGAATGTTGTCCTTGTCGCCTACATTTCAACCTATCGGGATATTACACACTATGTACGACCGTTCCCTCGTCCGGTCGACGACTGCCACTAGCACTAAGAAATTAAATCGTTATTGAAAGGACAAATCTCAGTTTCACATACACATAAAATTTTAGGCCAACTCTTTTTTTTTTATCCGGAAGTAGATTTCCATACACTAACATGGCATACATCGTTGCATTGTAGCTATCTTCTCTAAGTTAGCGTTTAGTTGTGCGTGAGCGAACACATTAGAATTATATGTGTGTGTGTCTATGTATGTCAAATATACACTCCATTATATATATTGCTTACGGCCATATAATGTTGAAACATCGGTTCCCGTACGATCAAGCAACGTCGAGCCAGGTCAGTACTTAGACGGGTGATGGCTTGGGAATACCAGGTGCTGTAAGCTTGCATGTGCGAATGGTATAATGGATAATGGCTCGGAATTGTTAATCGGAGAGCCGAGTTCCAATTCCAGTCGGGTTCATTATAGTTACCTGCTATATATATATATATATATATATATAGATAGATAGATAGATAGATAGATAGATAGATAGATAGATAGATATGCATGACGTGCGCTGATAGCCTAGGGGTAAGAGTCTCTCACTGATGTCAAATCTGTCGAGTTTCGATCACGGCCTGAAACAGTCTAGCCGCACTGATGTCTGTCTGTGGATGACTATTTATGCTCTCGTACGCTGATTGAGCACTATGGAGAAAAGGGAAATTTTAACGGCTTCTGCTACTGCTTTAATACATTGCTCTTCGTAAGAATTGCCGTCCTGGGCTATGACGATAAACTACATCCGCGTCCTGGGTAAGAAGATAAACTATGTCCAGCAGCAAGGTCTCTGATGGTTTTGAGGAGCGAGAAACCTCTTAATTGCTGATGTTCCCGGGTCCGCCCTAACAGGTGCTACTACCCCAGGGTCAAAGCCATGGGCAAATAGTTAACCTTGAAACTGGGATAAAAACATTATGAAAGTCTAAAAATAGGTTTTAATACCAGAAATATTTTTAAAAATTAGTACCAGCAATAAATTTTTGAAGAAAAAAACTATTACCAGCAATACATTTTTGAAAAAAAAAATTACCAGTTTTAAAAATAAATATTATACATTTTTGAAAAAAAAATATTACCAGCCAATACAGCAATATTTTTTGAAAAAAATTATTACCAACAATACATTTTGAAAAAATTATTACCAGCAATACATTTGAAAAAAAAAATTATTACCAAAAAATACATTTTGAAAAAATTATTTTTACCAGCAATACTTTTTTTGAAAAAATTATTACCAGCAATACTTTTTGAAAAAATTATTACCAGCAATTTTTTTTTTGAAAAAATTATTACCAGCAATACATTTTGAAAAAATTATTACCAGCAATACATTTTTTTTTGAAAAAATTATTACCAGCAATACTTTTTGAAAAAATTATTACCAACAATACTTTTTTGAAAAAATTATTACCAGCAATACTTTTTGAAAAAAATTATTACCAGCAATACTTTTTGAAAAAAATTACATTTTTACCAACAATACTTTTTGAAAAAATTATTACCAACAATAATTTTTGAAAAAATTATTACCAGCAATACTTTTTTGAAAAAATTATTACCAGCAATACAATTTTTTGAAAAAATTATTACCAACAATACTTTTTGAAAAAAAAAATTATTACCAGCAATACTTTTTGAAAAAATTATTACCAACAATATTTTTGAAAAATTATTACCAGCAATACTTTTTTGAAAAAATTATTACTAAACAATACTTTTTTTTTGAAAAAATTATTACCAACAATACTTTTTGAAAAAATTATTACCAGCAATACTTTTTTGAAAAAATTATTACCAACAATACATTTTGAAAAAAAAATTATTACCAGCAATACTTTTTTGAAAAAAATTATTACCAGCAATACTTTTTTGAAAAAAATTATTACCAGCAATACTTTTTTGAAAAAAATTATTACCAGCAATACTTTTTTGAAAAAAATTATTACCAGCAATACTTTTTTGAAAAAAATTATTACCAGCAATACTTTTTTGAAAAAAATTATTACCAGCAATACTTTTTTGAAAAAAATTATTACCAGCAATACTTTTTTGAAAAAAATTATTACCAGCAATACATTTTTGAAAAAAATTATTACCACTTTTTTGCAATACTTTTTGAAAAAATTATTACAATACAATATTTTTTTGAAAAAATTATTACCAGCAATACTTTTTTGAAAAAATTATTACTAACAATACTTTTTGAAAAAATTATTACCAGCAATACTTTTTGAAAAAATTATTACCAACAATACTTTTTTGAAAAAATTATTACCAAGCAATACTTTTTTGAAAAAATTATTACCAACAATACTTTTTGAAAAAATTATTACCAGCAATACTTTTTGAAAAAAAAAACTTTTTGAAAAAATTATTACCAGCAATACTTTTTGAAAAAATTATTACCAACAATACTTTTTTGAAAAAATTATTACCAGCAATACTTTTTTTTTTACCAAAAAAAAAATTTTTGAAAAATTAACAATACTTTTTGAAAAAATTATTACCAGCAATACTTTTTACCAGCAAAAAAATTATTACCACCAAATACATTTTGAAAAAAAAATTATTACCAGCAATACTTTTTGAAAAATACATTTTTGAAAAAAAATTATTACCAACAATACTTTTTTGAAAAAATTATTACCAGCAATACTTTTTTTGAAAAATTATTACCAACAATATTTTTTTGAAAAAAATTATTACCAACAATACTTTTTGAAAAAATTATTACCAACAATACTTTTTGAAAAAATTATTACCAACAATACTTTTTTTGAAAAAATTATTACCAACAATACTTTTGAAAAAAAAATTATTACCTTTTTGAAAAAAATACTTTTTTGAAAAAAATTATTACCAGCAATACTTTTTTGAAAAAAATTATTACCAGCAATACTTTTTTGAAAAAAATTATTACCAGCAATACTTTTTTGAAAAAAATTATTACCAGCAATACTTTTTTGAAGGAAACATATTACTAATTACATATTACATTATTACATTATATATTTCTGACAAAACAAAGTATTAGCAGTAATAAAAATGTTGTCGGCATTAAATAACCCATTGAGGTTGATATGCCGTAAACCAAACCCAAGCAAACCAATCGTAAGAATTGAGCGTTAAATATCGTATCCAAACGTAAACAACGTACTTTTCTAAACAAGTAATAGCGTTTAAAGTGATAAAAATATGTCGGATTAATTTAAATACCAACATATTTTTATCACTTTAAACGCTATTTTTAGTAGATACCCATATTTGAGCAGACGCCTCGTTTATTTATTAAACAGTATATTTATTTATTTTCGTCTACCGGCTGGGAATATTTGAGAAGCCTTATTAAAGAAAAATATGCACTCTCCGAAAAGATTTGAATCTGCACCCCCTTGGATAGAAGGAAACCGTCAACACGTAAAATAAATGAAGAATAAAAAATACAACCGAGGCAACTCAAGTCACACCCTCAAAAATGAAGGATCACTAGGTCAGGTTCAATCTTACGTCGCTTATGGTTTACGACTTAAATATGGAGACCTCTTATTTTTTTTTGTAGCCCGGTTCACACTCCTCCCCGACCTTTTGAACAGGAGTAGAGGTTTATCCCTTATTTTCTGTTTAGAATTAGGTTTTCAGTTCATTCTAAAGTCTCTTCATTCTCTTTCACTCACAGTAACCCCTTTGCGTCTTAGTGATATTATGGCCTTGCCTGAGATGAATTAATTTAAAAAAAAAAGGTATGTTTGTATCTGTTCATACATGTTTTCACGCCCGCGTCTCTACAAACGAGTGTACTGTTCACTTGTTTTAAAATAAGTTAAGATTTGCGAAATTAACTGTACGTGCGAAATTTCCCTACATATAATGAGTACTTGGGCCTTAATTGCAGATGAAATTTTGGTGTAAAATTCATCTTAAACATTAAACTTCAAAATACCAATTCCCTTTGCAACCTAACATGTACACTTTTCAGCTTACGGTGCACCCTTCTCAACATAATGTGTACCCTTTTCAACCTAAAGTGTACCCTCATTAACCTAACATGTACCCTTTTCAATCTAAGGTGAACCCTCCTCAACCTAACATGTATCCTTTTCAACCTGTGTACCCTCCTCAACATAATGTGTACACTTTTCAACCTCGTGTACTCTTCTCAACATAATGTGTACCCTTTTCAACCTCAGGTGTACCCTCCTCAACATAACATGTACCCTCTTCAACCTAAGGTGTAACCTTCTCAACATAACATGTACCCTCTTCAACCTAAGGTGTACCCTTCTCAACATAATGTGTACCCTTTTCAACCTAACGAGTTCATTTTTTTACCTAAGTACTCGTTACATATTATGAAATTGTTGGCGAGTATTATAGATATTTTTGTAAATTTGTAGATAATGCCTTCTGTCAGGAATCTGTGAAGGCGCTCGGTACGATGAGGGATTGGCTTCAGGAAAAGAAATCGAGCAGGCAGCCAGGCTGTATCCGGGACCCAACTAAAATTGGCAATATCTCCTATACAGCAGAGTTTCCTCAATTTTTATTTGCTATTTTTGTAATAATCACGCTTTTTTACAACAGGAATAATGTACTTTTTATAAAATTAGTTACTGGGGCATTATCTGCAAATTTACCGTTTTTCTTATAAGCACACCAGGCAACAATGAACGTCACGTGGTACAAAGACTTTGTAAAGAAAAGTTTATACGCATGACCTGACAGATAATAAACATCCACGTGTGTAAACATCGAACGCCACCCTCACTTTAACTTACCACTAACTGGCCAACGATTACCCGAGGTTAGGTCCGGCTTTCGTTCACCAAAAACCGGAAAACGGCTTGGTACATAAGCAAGCTCACCAGTTAATGGAGATGAAAAACAAACGTGTATATCCATGACTATGTGAATAGTTCACTTATTTTATCGTGAGTTCAGATTTGAGAAACTAATTTCCCGTTAGTTATTTTGTCATAATGTAAACTGATGATCGTGTTTTGTGATATAATATTATAATTGAACGTTAGATGTTTTTAAAAAATAAAAAAAAGGTTGCGTAGTCAACTTCTGTGGAGCTGAAATACGAGAAGACATAAAAGTAAAACGGTTTTCTTTAAGATATTTTCTTTAAAGTTTATTTTCTGTAGACCTTTATTAACAAAATCTATTTATATCTGCCAGTAAAATATACAAGTTCTTATTAATTTGTAATCGCAGCAAAGTTATTAACAGAGATCGCTAGGAATATGCATAAATACACGCATACAGACGCGTATATTAATAACTTACATTCTTTTTTCAGTTTTTCAGACACACACACACACACACACACACACACATATATATATATATATATATATATATATATATATATATATATATATATATATATATATATATATATCAGTTAGTTGCCATACGTGATTTCTGCGGTAGACCAGTGCCATCCCATCCAAGGCTAGAGAATCCAGTCTGTCCTGTTATTTAAACATACCTGTGGGGGAGAAGAAAAGTTATACCTTTTCAAAAGGTATATATATATATATATATATATATATATATATATATATATATATATATATATATATATATATTGCTCTCTCAGACTTTTCATATCGATCACACTGAGCTTTTCATATCTATTTATCTATATATCTATCACACACTGTCCATATCTATCTATCTATCTATCTATCTATCTATCTATCTATCTATCTATCTATCGCAGTCTTCTCATATCTATCTTTATCTATCACACACTGTCTATATCTGTCTATCTATCTAGCTAGCTAACTTTTATCTATCTATCTATCTATCTATCTATCTATCTATCTATCTATCTATCTATCTGTCAGGTATCTCAAAAAATTAACTATAGTCTATCCTGAAATAGATTTTAACTAATTTTATACCGGTTGCCTTAACACATATTTTAAATTCTCTAAAAATCTTTACATTCGTATATTCTCTATCACAGTTAAATGAGCAATAGATGTTTTACCAGTAAAACTGTATTTAACCATACAGTAAATTCAGACTCTTCCTATATTGATATGATAAATATTGCATGTGATTCTGCGTATAGTATTTTTTATATCAGACAAATTTATTAAAACTTATTGGAACGTGCGAAATTATTTTATGCAGCAGGAGAGTTAACTCATAAAATTGCATATATATATATATATATATATATATATATATATATAATTAAATATTAAAATATATGGCTGATAAAACATACATTCACATAGAGAGAAAAAAATTGATGAACGGACAGAACTGATTAATAAAGGAAACGACTATCTCTCTCTCTCTCTCTCTCTCTCTCTATATATATATATATATATATATATATATATATATATATATATATATATATATATATATATATTATAAAAGATTATAATCAAACATTATTAAATAGCATGGAAGCGATGGATTTTCCCTCCATTTGTTCTTTCTCTCATTTGGAAATATACATACATACATATATATATATATATATAGATAGATAGATAGATAGATAGATAGATAGATAGATAGAGAGATAGAGAGAGAAAGAGAGAGAGCAGTTGCTACTGCATTCTGACCGAATTTCTTTATAATCGAGGTAATTGCGCTCGTAGAAAATTGTTGGCACACACAGCCACGGTTATGCTAAATGACATGGCCCTACACTACCATAGAGCCATGTAACCAACATCACCGTTGGCAGACCGAAATACGATTATATACGGACATAGAATTTGGATGCCTGTGCTTGTACGCTGGTGAGCAAAGAAAACATTTCTCTCTTAAAATAAGTTCGATTTTCTCTATGCCGAAAAATATTACTACTTTAACGTAAATTCATTAATGGATACGCGTATTTGAGTAGAAGCCCCGTTTATTTATTAAACGCCATATTTATTTATTTTCGTCTGCCTACCTGAATATTCAAGAAATCTTACTAAAGAGATCTCCGGCAGGATTCGAACCAGCGTCTCCCTATCAAACACAGTCATTAAACCCCTCGGCCAGGTCACGTGAATTTGAATAGTGCCCTTTTAAACACAGATTTCTGCCTGACTCTCGAAATAGACAAATCTGCCCAGTATCGTATTTTAACGTAAACAAAGCAATTTCTAAAGAAAGGGATGGATTTTTATTTATTAATCCGACGAGTATCCAGTAAAAAAAATAATGTTTAAGCAATAAAATGTATGTATATGTATATAGACATGTATTGTTAAATATAACAGACAACGAATGTCTATTATGTTTTATGATGAGCCGTACCAAGCGTCGTAATAATGGCTTTAGTTTCAAGAGAAAATTAAGACAAAATTGTCCAACATTTGGATATTTCTTTATCATATTTGTCTTCACACATGTGCAACCATCAGAGTGGTTATTTGGACTTTACAACAGAGATGTTCAACCTCAAAGATGACATCCTGTTTTGTTTACATAGAAGTTTTCTATGCCATGATAACGGTCGCGGAATAGCAGACGCTGGTCGTAAATTCGTAATGCTGTTCTATGACATCGTACATGACCACTTGTGAGAGAAATTTTATCAACAGAACCATTGTTTAAATGCATTATAATATGTTGTGACTGGTTTGAAATGTAATCTTGATGTGTGTGGGTTGCTTTGTTTTAATGTAGATGGCCTCCAATATCTAAAGGTTCTTTTTATTGTGTGTGTGTGTGAGAGAGTATTGTTGTGTTATCAACTAATATCTCTCTAATATTATGGCTATGCTTTTATAATAAATGTTGTTTAATAAAACAGATCAGCGAAGGTGACAGGTAAGTCTACAGGAGAGCGTGGTTGTAGTAAAACCAATATATGTAGTGGGTTTATTATTAGTATCAGTGATACAATCACTGAACGGGCATGCAAATTGATATAATCCATTGTTTTTTGTAGAGGATTTAGTTGTGTGGTTGGGGGGTTATTGGAGACTATGAGATCAATTGTTTTAAATTTTTTTATAATATATAATGAACTTAAATTGTTTATTATTTTTAATGGGTTTAACATTTTAATGGGTTTCTACCTATTATTTATTTGAATGTTGTTTCATCCTGTTTGTAATTATTATGCATTTGGTTACAATAGTATAAGTTAATAATAGTATTATGTTTATTTTGACGTACACTATTCTGGTTACAATTATTATTAATATTATCAATTTTGTTAGTGGTATTATTAAGTTTATTGAGATACATGTTAGTTTATTGATCAATGACGGAATCAGGGAATCCATTATTAATGAGTGTTTGATGTTATGTAATTCTTTATAGAATATGGTTTTGGAAGAAGAATTCATTTGTGAGCATTCGATTAAGTTTTTTATAATAGCTAACTTATATCGTTGGGGGAATTCACTATTAAAATTAAGTAGCCACGAGTTAATGCTAGTTGGTTTTCTATATAGAAAAGTAGTAAATTTATATGTGCTGGAGTACATCTTGGAATGGGATTTTATTATTAAGTTAAGTTCTAGTGTAAATTTGAGGACGGAGTGACTTTCAAATTTGTTTTAAGTTGTTTAATTTAATATTTTTTGCTAAAATGAAAATGTCTTCCATGTAACTTACATATAGACGGGGTTTATTAGTGTCATTAAGTGTCATTTGTTTTCTAAATGTGCTATATAATAATTAGGAAAAAGCGAACCTTAGGGGGATCCCATGGCGTTACCGTCTATTTCAGTACAAATATTGCCTTGAGGATCATGAAAAGGTACTTGAATGGTACATGCCAATAATAATGTTTTTAAAATAGTGGATTTCATATTAATAGGTGGGAGAGAAGTGTGATTGTATACATCACGGATAATGATAATTGTTTCATGGATAGGGACATTAGTAAATAAATTTTGTATATCCAAAGATCCGATCATTTGGTTTTACAGTATGAAGAATTTGTACAAATTCGTTTGTGGAGTTAATACAATATTTACTTGAGAGGTATGGAGTAATAAATTTGTTAAGGGTTTTTGAGTGGTAATATACTGGTGTAGGTGTTTGTGAAATGATAGGTAGGAGGGGATGATCTTTTTTATGGATTTTACATTTCCGTAAAGACAACCATGCTGATAGCCACTTATAATTTTTTGAAGTTTATAGGATCCTATTTCAGCGTTGTTAGCAGTAATAAGTTTATTCATATGGTTTTTAAGTTGGGGTATAGTGTTATTTGTTAACTTTTTAAATTTATTGCAATCGTCCAAAAAAGCCTGTAATTTTGAGTTCTACTTATGTTTGTTTAAAATAACGAAAGTATTAGTTTTATCAGCTCGTCGGATAACAATACTATTGTTATTTTTTAGTTGTTTAGCTGCTTTTATTAAAGGAGTGTTTATAATTCCATTCGGATTTTTATGGTATCTGTGTTTAATACATTCAGCTTTAAGTAAATCTTTTAAACATACCTGTGTAGTAATATGGTTATCTTGTTTCAATAGAAGTATTTGTTGGTATAAAGCTTCAATTTGCGTTTGTTTAAACATTAGATTAGGTTTCTGCGTGACGTGAAAATTTGGTCCAAGATTAAAGAATACCGTTCCATTTGGGGTGAGTTGGTAATCCGATAAGTGGATGAAGTTTTCGTTGGTGTTTGGTAGAAGTATTTTTCCATATATATAATTTGTTTAGCTTCTCTTTTTTTTGGATGACTTGTTTATGTGATTCGTTTTCCTTTTGTGTTTTATTATGTAATTATGAATTTTTCAGTTGTGGCAGAAGATTGTAAGATTCCTTTAACACGCACAATTTCAGTGTTGAGCCGTTGTAATCCTTGTGCGAATGTGTTTATTTGTATCTGTCTATATTTCTGAGATGAGGTATTATGTACACTATTTACATTATTCGGACTATTGTCCTCATCTTTGTCGCCATATTTATTACAATGTTTCAGCCGTTGGGTTTCAGGTGGTTGGAATGTCGAACTGAACCCTTTATTTCGCTCACTGGGGTAGAATGATCTAGTTCCACGTGCCATGTTTAATGGACGTCAGTTATCAGTTATCTCATGTTAATTCCCCTCCACTGCCTTAACTAGGTATTGAACTCACAATCTTTGGGTCCTGTCACTGGATCTAACCAACGCCTTTATCCACTGTGCCATGTCCTCAAGGACAGTGGAGAACTTGGAGAGGGGAATTAACAGGAGATAACTGATAACTGACATCCATTAGACATGGCACGTGGAACTAGAACAGTCTACCCCAGTGAGCGAAATAAAGGGTTCAGTTTAAGATTCCAACCACCTGAAGAAGGCCGGAGCGTACAACAGCCGAAAAGTTGTAATAAATATGGCGACAAAGATGGGGACAATAGTTCGAATAATGTAAATAGTGTGTTTATTTGTCGTTTGATGAGGTTCCATTAAAATTTCTTGGTGTTGCGAATCGTTTACTGCTGCGGCATCGTGTAACTTGAATTTAGTGTATATGGGCAGCAGATCCTTATACAGACATATATTGTTAAATATAACAGACAACTAATGTCTATTATCATGAGCCGTTCCAAGCGTCGTATAATGGCTTTAGTTTCAAGAGAAAATAAAGACAAAAACTGTCCAACATCTGGTCATTTCTTTATTATACTGGACGTCAATCTAAGCTTTCGGCTCACATGAGCAATCATCAGAGTGGTTATATGGATATTACAACAGAGAGGTTTAACGTCAAAGATGACATCCTGTTTTGTTTACATAGAAGTTTGCTATGCGACGATAACGGTCGCGGAATAGCAGACGCTGGTCGTAAATTCGTAATGCTGTTTTATGACGTCGTACATGACGTCGTACATATATACTAAATTAAAGATTAATAACACCAGAGAAAAAACAGCTTTG